TAACTAGATGATACAAAATATTTTAATTTTGTTTATCACATGACTATCATTGACTGGTTTTTTTTTTTCAAATTATTATCAGTTGAGTTAAAACCACAGAATTATTACTCATAAATATAATTTATTATTCAACTGCTGTAATAAAATTATTATCGAAAATTAATATTGATGAGTTTTATTAAACTAAATCAATATACTTGGTTTAATAATTTTACTAGAATTCGGTTCCAGTAAGTATACTCTTGGTAACTCATATTTTAATATGAATAATAATAATTTGGTACGTTAATAAGATGAGAAATTTCATTTCATATTTGCATATGATACACAGATGGAAAAACATTATTCATATTCCATACGAAAAAAATCTAAGATTGCCACTTCAGAAAAACAAATGAAGACTAATACACAAAAAATTAATATAAGCCTCATTTTGAAATAAATAACTTTTAAATTATTAAATACATATTGTATTATTCATACATACATACCTACATATAAGTATAGTATATATATATATATACTATACGCGGGGCGTCGTTTTTGTTTCAAGTGGTAACGAACTCGTTTTTTTAAATAAATACTCTGTCAATTCATCTGCATACATTATTTTTGTTCCAAACAACAATCATTCATTATNAACAATCATATTATGTCAATTGCCACCGGAATATCTGGTAATATTTTTCTTTTTCTTTGCCTTAATCCCAACTACTTGGGGTCGGGCTCCCTTATCCTAAGATTCCACTTGACACGATCTCCCACATCTTCCACGCTCACATCAGCTGTCCTCAAATCGCATTCAATAGCATCCCTCCATCTCTTTTTTGGTCTTCCTCTATCTCTTCTTCCTTCAACATTCATTTCTATAACTGTTCTTACAGCTTTCGATTCTTCTTTCCTCATACCATGACTAAACAATCTAAGTCTATTTTCTGTCATCTTATCCACGATTGACGCAACACCTATACTTCCTCTTATATGCTCGTTCCTTATCCTATCTTCTCTAGTCACTCCACTCATCCAACTAAGTATTCTCATCTCTGCTACACTTATTCTCTGCTCTACTTTCTTATCAACCGCCCAACACTATGAAGCATACATCATAGCTGGCCTCACAATTTCATACTAAATTTAAAAACTATAATTAGTATTTATTCATATATTATATTTTAAAATCAAAGAACTACTAATCAGGATATAATTAAAGAAATAAGAGTTCATGTTGCTTTTAAAATATTTCACCAATTTCTCTAAAGGAAACACTATCTACAGATTTGCATCGAAGCGTTTCTTATGATAGTGATTTTAATCACTGTCAGATATCATCTATACTT